CCGCCCGCCATTTTCTGGGCCCTCCCTCCGCGCAGCCGCCTCCCTCACACCGTCTCCGATACCTGTCGGCCTGAGGGCCGGCAGCGACTGGGGACAAAAAAAAGCTTTTTGGGGGAAAAAAAAAAAAAACAACACAAAAATTGCCGTTATCATTCCACTTTGTAAGTCGCAGGGCACAATTTCTGTGAAATGTTACCACACAAGGAGGTGGCCCTGCTGGCAACCGTCTCCCGACTCAGGGCCAGAAGCTGTAGCCCTGAACACAGCCCAAAATACAGGCCGCCCCGTGCTTCCCGGAGCGCGTCGAGGCTGGTTTGTGCCCAAAAGGTGGCCTGAGTCGGGCCAGGAATAGTCATACAGCGTAACGCCTGTTCCTGAGTAACTCCATGCATCCGCATCTTTATTTCAGAATTAAAAGATGCCATTTTCAAGTTTGGATGAACGGTGGTACCTGAATACTGTACTGCGCAAACTCCGCTAATGGCACAGAGCAGCCGCTGATTAGGAAGAAGGAACAAATTAGGAAGAAGAAACTTCCAAAATACCAGGGGTAACTACAGGAGCATCAGAAGCTGCCAAGGAAAATGTGTGGTCCTGGGGGAGAGGCCAGGCCCATCAAGGACCACGCCTGGCAGGGGACACGCTAAAGGGCAGCCTATCATTTTCATGAAGGCATCAAGTTAAAGCACACACATTTAATATGCTTAACTTAGTAGAAAGAGATGCGACGAGCCAGGCCGTAAAAGCTGCTCCTGACACAAAATGGTCCGATTCAAGGCTGCAGGGCTTTCAGGAACTTCAGGGAGATTCAAAGAAGCGCAGCGGGCTCCCAAATACCAAATGGTGCTACAAACCAGCAATGAATCCCCTGCCAGAGCCCAGAGGAGGCTGCGAGGCCGTAGGACAGGCACCGGCTCTGGCAGCACGGCCCCAGCGGACTGCGGATGCTGGGAAGCTGCCACCCAGACCTGGGCGGCGTCTCTGGCACTCATCTGACAGGCTTTTAAATTAGTTTTATGAAGACAAGAAAAGGACTTGTTCAGCACTATAAATAGCTTAATGAACTCTACTGAATGTATAACCGTGGTTTGAAACAGAAACATCTAGGCTGCCAGAGACATTGCACAATACAGGCCATACTAAAATACCATCGTATAAATCAGTAGCGTGGCCTGATGGAGAACACCCTGTACAATACCGGTCACCGGATCTCAGAGGTACCAAGGACACGGAGAAACTCCCAACTGAAGAGAGCCTGAAAAAGCAAAGTTGTTTTTTTCTCCTTTTTTTCACTCTAGAATGGAGGCTCATGCAGTAGAGTGACACGGGATCAATGTTACATGGATACGCTGATGGTCCTAAAGCTTCCATACAGTGAGTGCGTCCTGCTCGTTCTTAGTTTTAACTATTTTTCTGTTTAGCAATAAACTGTGATTACAAGCTGACATTAAAAGTAAATTTTTAAATGTGTTGTATAACGGTTATGAAACTTTCTGGTGGCCGTGCAGGATGGCAAGATGTGAACGGTATGCAAAAAGAAACCAAGCAACAAGTATGCAGAAAGAGAAGTACCAAAGCAGAAATTGGACAGACAAGAACAGGCTGTCTTTAGTCATCATCAACAGACTTCTTCTCCATCTACCGACATATTTTTGGAAAAATGATACTTCAATATACTTAAGAAAGCAGTGCGAGACAGCCGGGTCTGCAGAGGGTCACAGCTACAGTCATGACGTCATCAACAATCTAGCTGCAGAGCTGCGCATTTCAAGACTGAAAAGCACACGGTCTTCACTGCCTTACGTGGAGACGCGCGCTTCTGCTGTTTACTCATCCAAAATACCCCATTAGTCACACATTCACTTGCTGCTGTTCTACTGCTTTTGTTGCTGCTGTTATAGGACTTCTGTGTATTCACACGCTTTTATACAGCTTCCATTGCCTCTCCATGTGCCAACAGAAATTTTCACATTGGTAGTTTTGAAAAATACACGCTGGCATGAGTAGTTATCGCGTGTATGCTCATATGAATATTGCTATTACTATTGTGCTTAAGACTTAAGAGGAATGGCTGAGTTCCTCTGAAACAGTTTCCCAAATTTTTAAGATAAAGAATGAAATCTGAAGTTGATGATGACTACGTGCACACAGAAGGGCCTTTCTGCAAGTTCTAACTGCCTCAAAGCACAATTTCTGAACCGGCTGAACCAGTTGTCGAGAGCAAAGGCTCAGCACACGCGATGCCGTCTTTGCCAAAATGTTCTTCTGCGTTAAACTCAGTTCATCCAAGAGCTTAAGGCGCAGATAGCCAAACGGCTTCCGGGAGCTCCACAAGCCGCTCTGGAGGGCTGCCGCCGCCATTGGGGGGCGGACCGAGCCC